AGTTCTAAGCTGAAGCAATTATCGATATCCTTATTTCCACTTGTCCATTCTTGAATTGTTATGTCAGGATCACATGTTTGACACCATTTCTCACACGTGTTATATTCATTACAATGTGTACATTTTCCGTAATCTGAATTTCTTTATAATTATTAGTTGAATACATTAGTTATATTACGTTTGTGACTTTTAAATCGAACACAAATATATATACTTACCGACTAATTAATGCGAATTAAATAGTAAATATTCATGAACTTGAATAGCTTATTCTAAATACTTTGATTAATAAATATTCTTTGTACTCACGCACTAAAAAAATTAAAATTAAATATTCATGAACTTGAATAGCTTATTTTAAATGGTTTGATTAATAAATGTTCTTTATACTCACACACTAAATAAAATAAATTTAAATAGTAAATATATATTCAAGAATTGATAACTTATTTTAAATACTTTGATTAATAAATGTTCTTTATACCTACTGACTAAATTAATGCAAATAAAATAATATTAAATATTCATGAACTTGAATAGCTTTTTTTAGATAATTTGATCAATAAATGTTCTTATACTCACAGACTAAATTATTCAAATAAAATAAAATTAGTAATAAATATTCATAAACTTGAATAGCTTATTTTAGATACTTTGATTAATAAATATTCTTTATACTCACAGACTTAATTAATGCAAATAAAATAAAATAATAATAAATATTCGTGAACTGAATAATTTATTTTAAATTCTTTGATTAATAAATGTTCTTTATACTCACAGACTAAATTAATGCAAATAAAATTAATAATAAATATTCATGAACTTGAATAGCTTATTTAAATACTTTGATTAATAAATATTCTTTATACTCACTGACTAAATTAACACAAATAAATTAAAATTAAATAGTAAATATTCATGAACTTGAATGGTTTATTTTAAATACTTTGATTAATAAATATTCTTTATACTCACTGACTAAGTTAACGCAAATAAAATAAAATTAAATAGTAAATATTCATGAACTTGAATAGCTTATTTTAAATACTTTGATTAATAAATGTCCATTATACTCACTCACTAATTAAATAGTAAATATTCATAAATTTAAATAGTTTATTTTAAATACTTTGATCAATAAATATTCTTTATACTCACAGACTAAATTAACACAAATAGAATAAAATTAATTAGAAATATTCATGAACTTGAATAGTTTTTTTTTTAAATACTTTGATCAATAAATGTTTTTTACACTCACACACTAAATGAAATAAAATTAAATAATAAATATTCATGAACTTGAATGGCTTATTTTAAATACTTTGATTAATAAATGTTCTTTATACTCACTCACTAAATTAACGCAAATAAAATTAAGTAATGAATTTGAATACCTAACTTAGATTAATAAATGTTCTTGTACAGTACTTACGAGCTAAATTAAGTAATGTGAATAAACCGTGAACTATTGCAACAAAAATGATTTTTATAATTCAAAAATGATCATTATACTTACTTCCTAAAGGATTAAATAATTTTTAAGAATTTCAAATTTTAAATGTAAAGTTTAAATGTATTAACTAAAATTTGCAAATTATAAATACTTTTCAAGCCAATTATAATATTTGCCTTCGCTCTTTTCTATACCAATTCCGTAATAGTAACAAATAGCAGTTTTAAAAATTCCCATAGTTTTGTCAGCCTCGGCAGATTTTAGATAATGCAGAAACGCTTTATGCTTGTCTATTTCAACCCCAATTCCTAAATAATAACAATAACCAACTTGATACATTCCGTTAGGATTATTCATTTTTGCTGATTTTTTATAATGAATGAATGCCTTATTCTCATCCTTTTCAACTTCAATTCCGTATTCGTAACAATAACCAAGCCAAAATATTCCATCTGAATCATTTATATCAGCTGATTTTTGACAATCGATGAATTTCAGTTGATTAAAAACATTGGCGACTTTAATAATTTCACCTGACGGGTTATTGTCATTTGTATCTAACATTTTATATCCGAGACATTATATGCTTTATGAGAAAATTTAGTTTCATTTAAATGATTTTGAATGTAGTACATTTGGTCAACCAAAATATATTACTGTATTAAGTACTGCATACACGTATACATCAGATATGATTTCTTCGGCTTTGTATCACTGCGTAAGTAAGCAATCTGTACGCAAAAAGTCACTTTCGTTAACATTGTATGATACTAGTGATTCAATTCGATTAAATTTTTATGGCTCGGCTAAGCTGTTAAATCTTTATTGACTTACCTGCTTAGCTAATAACTATTGATTGAAAGTACAATGTTTAATTAAAAATTCTAAATACTTTAAATTTTGTTAGATTTAGAGTTAGCAATGACTAGCATACTAAATTGTCAATCTAGAAAATTATACTTCAAAGAGTAAGAAATTATTTAAAGTTAAAATACTTCTTAATACATAATTTCATATTTGGCATCAATATTGATTATTATGATTTAAAACTGTCAGCCAGTTAAGAAACTAAGTGATTGGCTAAATCAGCTTGGAATACTATAATCTGTTAAAGCATATATTCAGAACCGGCATGAAAGTACGAATTTTAAAAATATTGAAAAAATTTTGTGCCGGGCTTTGTCGACCATTCGTCACATGATAATATTGCAGCAAATCGAATTCACACTTTAAAAAAAATAACGAGGTAATTACAAATCTTTAGAATTCGAAACTGCCCTCTCATCACAGTTGTCTGTTATTCTTAAAATATTTCGGATAAATTTTATAATTTAGTCGCTTAAACATTTGAGTAACAATGACCCTGAATTACCAGGTAATTTTCGAGGGTACAATATTTCATTAAAGTTTTAAAGATAACGGTTATGAATTTTTTTAACAATATTTTAATGATTTCTTATCTGGTTTTTGCATTTTATATTCGTTTATATAAAGTATAAAAAAAAGTACTGTGACCAAAGTTACAGTACCCCTTTTTCTCGTACCCCAATTAAAATATCCGGGTCTTATTTGCTTGTCGCATGTAACGAGAACCAACTAATTTAATTTGCATGGCCTTACGTATAAAAGAAAAGTCCTTATTTTCGGAGCAGTATATTAATTTTTAATTATAATGCTAAACAGCTTGTAACCAACTATTCTACATAGGCGATTAAGGTCAGAATAGTTAAATTATACAGTATTTGCATATAAACCTTTTAGAAATATACAAAGATAGTATAAGATTTAATCTTAAATAAAATTAAAAAAAAATTTAAATAAAATATCTTAAACAGCATATTTTTTAAGCATTTGAGAAATATTAAAAATTAAATCAATTACAAGTAATGACGAGTATATATAAACCTATACCTTTAAAGCAATTAACTCAAAACAAATATGATACCAATATAAATAAGTAATAAATTTATCTAATTATAAATATTGTAAGCTTAATATAATACTATACTTACTATACTTACTATGAGGAACTTTAACAAAATCAATAGGTTTACTTTGTAAAGTTTTCATTATAACATAATTAGTATAAATAAATAAATAAATATATAACATAATTTTGAAATAAATACCTTTAAATGCACTTGATATTCTTTGGGTATTTATTATTTTGCTAGTGTACGTAGAATCTGGATGTTTTTGTGAGATAATTGGCAATGCTTTGACTGCATCTTGAAATTGTTTTTTAATTTCATTTGCATCATCTGGATTCTCATAATATGAATACAAGATATCATTCCATTCATGAAGTTTCTTCCAAACTTCAAAAGCAGTAGGCCGTTTTTGTGGATCTGAATTCATGCTTTGTTTAGCTAATTCTGTATAATAATCTGGAGTCCCAGGTGCAAATTTAGATCGCAATCCTCTGCATATCTAATGAAAGACTAAGATCAAATAGTCGACCATCAAAAGGTCTTTGTCCAGTTGACATTTCCGACATAATGACTCCGAAACTATAAGATCGGGCAGCTGATGTGAACTTCTGTCCCAATAGAATCTTTGAAGCGACATAAGGTAAGACTACTCTTTTATTATAAAAGCTAACCCTAAACCCTAGCCTAACTGTAAAAAAAAAAAAATGTATTTTGAAAATTTCATACTAAAAATATATTATATATTTAAAAATTTCCAGACATTTATTGTATATTATATAATAACATATAATAAATTTCTTATATAAAAATTGTAAATCAAAGTGTGATATTCTGCGTTCTCTTACATGAGTAAACGATTTATTATTATCGTATAACGAAGGTTCTTTATTCACGCATTTAGTTATATATATAGCTACTTTTGCTAAAGATGCAGTGCAATGATATAACATTACTATTAACACAATAAATTAAATATGGTGCAAGAAGCCTATACTCAACAGTTACACAAACTGGTTCAATTTTTTAAATGGCTATAACTTTTTTTAAGAGGTTTTATAAAATCTAACCGGTAACTTTATAGAACTATATTAGCTCTACATATGTGCCAAATAACTTTTCAAAATCTCATCACGGTAAAGAGTTGATGCATTTTAAAAATATATAAAATTTCAATTTTCAAAATGCATCAACTCTTTATACGTAGTGATGAGATTTTAAAAAGTTATTTGGCACATATGTAGAGCTAATATAGTTCTATAAAGTTACCGGTCAGATTTTATAAAACCTCTTAAAAAAAGTTATAGCCATTTAAAAAATTGAACCACTTTGTGTAACTGTTGAGTATAGGCTTCTTGCACCATATATAGTCACAATAACAGATAAAGCTCGTTGAGTATAGGCTTCTTGCACCATATATAGTCACAATAACAGATAAAGCTCTAAACCATGACAGGAATATTTTGCATATATCGATATATTACGTGTATTTCGAAGTGGCTATTACAGTAGTGAAACGTTGCATTTCAAAAATTAACCTTAAAAGGTGTATATCACGTGGTATTTGATATTGATATTTTTTATCCAAGGTTTAACTGTTAATATTTTTAACCATGTCTTCTCAAGATCTTGAAAGTGCGCTTTCAAAATTTAAAATACTCAACAGAGAACAACGTAAAATTTTGTGAGTAAATAATATTTCAATATAATAATACAATTAAATTAAATAATAATTATTGAATTTTATTTTATTTTAGTTTAACAGCATTAGTCGAAGATTGTACTCCACACGAACTTTATACATTACAACAAGCTTTACAAATCAAAAACTATGGTGGTTTTGATATTGTTGGAACTTTACCTCTTGAACTTTCTGTAAAAATTTTTGAATATCTTAATTGTAAAGATCTATGCGCTTGCCGAGAGGTTTGTAAAATATATCAAAGTAGCTTTATTCAAATCTTTATTTTTAAACTTTAGTTATTATATGTTAGGTATGCCAAAGATGGAGAAGCATTACAAAAGATCCCACTATATGGAGGGCAAAATGTTTAGAAATTCTCTACTGTGATAAAGGATCAATCTCAGAAAATGATATGAAAGATATTCCAAAAGAGGGCTGGGAAAAATTATGTAGAAAATTATATCGACGAGAGGTTAACTGGAATAATGGAGGGGTTCAAAGAGTTAGATTTTTAAAAGGACATAGGGATCGTATAACCGATTCGAAATTAAAAGGTAATATTCTTGTCACTGGATCAGCAGATAGAACAGTGCGAATTTGGAACGTTGATACCGGCCAATGTGAACATGTATTTACTGGAAATGTTTTTAGTTGTGTTGATTTTTTACCTGAAGAAAAAATCATTGCTGCTTCTACTTATTTCCGGTAAGAATATTAAATAATTGATAATATCACTTTCCGAAAAGGTAACTAGTTATAGTTTATCTTATTTTATTATTATTTATTTTTTCATAGATCATCCTTTCTTTGGAGCATGGAAACTAAAGAGTTGTTAGGCGAGTTTAATGGCCATGTGACTGCTGTAAGATGTATCAGTTTATCGAAATCTTTTATCGCGTCTTGTTCTTTTGATGGGAGCGTAATTGTTTGGAACTGGAAATCTGGTGAGAAAATTGCGACAATACCAGCAGATGTAAGTTGTTGTTTTTTTAAATAGATAAATTCACATACAAATGAAATATTTGTACTTATTTTATGTTTATTCTAAAGTCAATTGCAGTTCGAATATTTGATACCACAATTTTATCACTTAGTAGTCAAAAAATCGAAGCATATGATATAAATAATGGAACATGCATTTTTTCATCTCCATTTGAAGAAGGGCTTATAGGCTGGTCCTATATCCAAAATTATTTATCGTCAATAGAAAACCCACATGATGAAATTTATGGTCAGATGTTATCATCACTATCTATGATTAAGGGATTAAGCCATTATTCTTCAGTTCGTGTATTTGATTTCGATACGCGTAAAAATAGATTTGTGCGCATAGATGGGCAAATGCCATCAGCTGTTTTATGGTTGACCTTGTTCGGTTATAATTATAGGTCAAAGATGATAGAATATCCTTGTAATGAAAATTCTATGGATTTAGATATTAACAAGGAAATCTTTAGAACCATTAATGTGGATTGCCGTCGTATTGTAGCTGGATGTTTAAGTGGAATTATTGTTCTTTTAGAGTTTGATGAAAATTAATTCTATATTTAATTAACGCACGTTATTTAATCTGTACCGTATTTCGGAGAGTACCTAGGTCTCTTACACTTTACACCAGTTTTATTGATTTAAACCGGTACACTGTATAGAATAGGATATACTATGTGGGGATCTTGGGGATTCCGTGAGGTTAAATCGGTTTCCTCATATAAAAATTTCGAGTAAATCAGGCTTAAAAATGATCTATAAATAATATTTATGGTGGAAATTCGAAATTTAAGCCCGGTTACCGTATATAAAAATCTTATCCGAGTACAAAATTAGGTTATCCGGTTAACCCAATTGCAGTTAACCCGTTATCTATGTACTAAAAATCTAGTGTTTGAAGATAGAATGGAAATTCAATCGGCTACAGGCCAAATTAAGTGGTCATTAATAAAATTATTGGCAATTTTTTGTGTAATGATAGTAGTTCATACATATCACTTTTTATAAACTAATTGCATTACTTCGTTGCAATTAATCAATTAATCAGTAGTGAGTAAGTATCATGACTATTTTTTAAATGAAGCATTTCTGTATTCAAATATTACATGAAATATTTCGAAATAAAATTTTTGAAACAAAAATTTCGATGATTTATACCAGAATATCAAACAATTTCAATCAATTTGTAGAGCTTTTAAAAACATTCGATGAATTGGCTGAAATTTTAAAAAAATTTAAAGGAGATCTCCGGATCAATCACGTTTCTTTTAGAAAAACTGCTGATAACTAATAATTTTGTTTATGAAGCCATCTTCTGCGCACTAACAAAAAAAAAATTCCTTAAAAATTATGGTATAATATAAGTCTCTCTTTAATCATAACCCTAATCCTAACTGCTAACGTAAGATTTTATTAAAAATATTGTATTGTGTAGATTGTGTAGATCAGTGTTGTCCACTGGAACGTTCCAGTGAGAATTACTGGAACTGGAAGATCACTGGAACTAACTGGAAGAAAAAAGTAATATATTACCTTCCAGTGGTATGTTGTCACTGGACCCTTCCAGTGAGGATTTTTAAACCACTGGAAGGCGTTCCAGTAACTTCCAGTGGCTTCCAGTAACTTCCCGTAGTATTTTTTTGATTACAACAAAAATTACTATATCCGGGTTTGTATCTATCTCTGCAAACAATTCGGGTATTACAAAACTTTATTTTTTCTTTACGGCATTGATGGTAACGATTTTGGAACTTGTGATTATATGCATACGTATATAACAGCCATCATACGTTTAAATCATAAATAAGAGAATTCAAAAATATTTTTTTTTAATATGTATTTATTTTAACACAAATTAATTCTAAGCAGATTCGCTTCGGAAATATAATATGTTTAACTTGAAATTTTATTATTTAATGTGATTTTTGATCTCAGAAATTTCAATGAAATACAATAACTCAATTGCAAGAAATCCGTTACGCCCTCTTTGTCCTAAATAATCAATAACATAATACAATGAAATACTTACCTTCTAATTAGCGTTTGATAATACAACCTTCATGATACTAATTTTAACATTTGGGCGTTCTCAAGCACCTCACCTGCCTCAATGAATTCAATAAAAAATCCGATTGGCTAGTTTGATTAAACAGACCAATCAAATCCGTTATTGAGTCCATTGAGGTATGAGGTAGGTGCTTGAGAACGCCCTTTATCACATAAATCAACTGTTACATTTTACCTAAAATATTCTTGCAAAATTAGGTATTGTTTCAAAAGCTGCTCGTGAATCTGAGCAGCTACTTGGAAAGGCACTATTAAACCAAATTTGCCTTGTGATTATGATGCTAGTTGTATAAAGTGGTATATTGGCGCAATTCTAATATAATACCCTTGATTAACAGTAGAAGTGTAGTAAATAGATTCAAAAAAAAAAATATGTAAAAAATGTAAGCATATATTTTAATGAAAAATAAAAACCTGATCTCGCAATGATCTTTCTCCAGTTATACGTAATAAACACTCAAGTCTTGCTTGTGCTATGCTTATGAGAAACGTAATAGCATTCAATCAATGCGAATCAACAGCTGAACTTAACATATATTATGCAATACTCTTCCATTTAGTCATTGCATTATGTGCAATAATATGATCTTAAGTGACATATTGCTAGAAAAAGGTATTGAGCTATAATTATAGAAAACACCTTCTCTTCAATGTAGTCAATTCGTTTGGAAGATACAATTGTATGTATTGTATGTATTGCATGTGAAAAAATGAACAATCTTTGGGGAATTAGAATAATCTAATGAGTGATAAAGTATATAATCCCAAGGAATGTTGAATCCCACTTCTATTTCCTTTATAATAAACTTAGTATATTCCCCATGTATCATTAATAAATTAATACATAAAATTTGTAATACACAAACGTCCCTACCTGAAAAACTAGAATTCCTTATCGTCATACCAATTCATATTCAAAAGTAATCTGGTCTTCTTGAGTCATTTTATAAATGATTCTAACGACTTGTCGACTAGTATTAATTTTGGTATATTCTAATTAAATTTTGGATAAAATGGCTCAAAGACATACTGGCAGTCCCAAGAAGCATAGATTTATGAATGATATTATTGTACTTGGTGTGAAAGCAACAAATAAATATAATACAAATTGTATATGTAAAGCTTGTGATGAAGTTCTTAGCCGGGAAAAAACTTTAGAAGACCCAATCACCAATAAGAAAAATGTTGTTCGAAATTACTTAAAAACATGTGAATATTTTCGTACCAAGCTTGGCTCTCAAGAGGCAGTAGATGAATATTGTAACAGGATGGACAATGAAGAAGATAAGGTCCAAAAAACTTCGAAAAAGCATAGAAGTGCCGATACATCAGGTGTGTGTGTGTGTGTGTGTGTGTAAATATCTAAAATTAGCATTTAAATATTTTTTTTAAAAAAAATAAATGATAACAATGATGATAATTGCACAAGTAACATATCTGGTGTTTCTTCAACAACGCCTATATCAATTAAAAAGCCAAGAAGAAAAGTATCAAATTCTAGAACTATGTCTAACTTTATTGCCAAAGATATTAGCATAAAAGAAAGACCAAAATTTGAACAATTGTTGCTTCGGATGACGATATCAAATGGATGGGCGTTTAGTTGGATAAGAAATCCAGAAACCAAGGAACTTTTTGAATTCTTAAACCCAGCGCTTACTCTTCCTAGTCGGCATTTATTATCCAATCATATCCTTGAGGCTGAAAGAACAAATTATATTAAATCACAAGAGCAAAAAATAAAGGAAGATAAAATTGGAGTTATCTTGGCATTTGATAGGTGGAAAAATATTTTAAAACAACATATCTTTGGTTTGTTATTTATTTTATCAACTGGGGAGGTTCAAGTTTGGGAAGCAATTGATACTAGTTCAGAGAGAGAGAGAATGATCAACGTTATTCCTAAGATTGAAAATATGATTTAAGATGCATCGAGTTTGGGGCAAAATTATTGGCAATTGTCTCTGATAGTGCGCCAGCATATTCTGCTGCAAGGTAATTAGATAAAAAAATAAAGTAAAATAAATTAAAAAAAAAAATAAATATTAAATAAAAAAATAAAAAAATAAATTTCAATAAAATAATATATGGGCTGCCATCAATAGAAATAAGGCAGATTGACATTTTAAAAAATATTAATACCTTAACTTTCACAGCTCATATTTTGATAGATTTTGAGGCTATCTTGATGATTTATTATCCAAAAGAAAGCATACGATCTAAGCTTTCTTTTGAATATTAAATTATCAAGATAGCCTCAAAATTCATTGAGATATAAGCTGTGAAATCTAAGGCATTAATTTTTTTTAAAATGTCAATCTGTCTTATTTATATTGACGGCAGCCTATATAATTTGCAATATTCTTCTAATCATTTCAATAGACGTCGGCTACGATTACAATATCTGGAAATAGTGTTTATCCCTTGTTTCGCTCATCAGTACAATTTAACTGTAGGAGAAATTTTCAAAGAGTCTGCAGAGTTTAAACTTGTGATGAAACAATCTATAAAAATAGTTAGCTATTTTAATACTACACTTCATTCATACTTTATCGGAAAGCTTCGAGATATACAAAAACAAATATATTCAAAATACATTACATTAATTTGCCCAGGTGATACCCATTGGAATTCGTATTGTTATTGTTTCAAAAGCCTAATAAAATCCCGACAAGCTTTAAGGGTTAGTACTTATAATGTATTAATTTTTTTTTTTTTTTTTTAACAAGTATCTAATTTAAATAACAAAAATCAAAATTTTTAAGAATTTAGCTACTAAGTTTGAATCACCCTTCGAAATATCAACAAATGACTCTGGCGATAAAGAATCAAATCAACTTTCGAACAGTTCAGGTGAACTTTATCTCCCACAACTGATAACCACAATTCTACTAAATGATAATTTTTGGCAATCAATAATGCGATTATATTTTTTGCTTCTTTCTTATTGTGGAGCTCTTAACAAATTGCAGTTAGATACTGGACGTCTTTATAACGTGTTACAAGCTTTTGGTGGAATATTGAGAATGTGGGAGGAGTATTCAGATTATGATTTAGCTCAACGTATAATCCTGCGGTTAAAACAAAGATAGAGACAATGGGAACAACCATTACTATTATTATCTTTTCTTTTATATCCAAATATTTATATTACATGGTTTAATAGTAATAATGAAAACTTAAACTTTACATATCTAGCTTAATTCGTTATTTATTATTACAAAGTGTGGTTTGGACGCCGACCAACTCGTATCTTACTTGAGCTAGAAGAATATAGAAAACGTAGATATCCCTTTGACTTTGCCACATATGAACAATTTGAAGATAATGCGCTGCAATTTTGGGAATTCGCTTCACCTTCAACTAAAGAATTAAGTCCATTAGCCGTATGCTTATTTGAAATATGTATTAATGCAGCATCTGTAGAATGACTATGGAGTTCAATGGGATTTTTTCATACTAACTGTCGTTGCCGTCTCCATGTAAGATTTTTTCTTGGTTCTTAGTTTTAAAATTAACTAACTTTTTTTTTTTAAAAAAAAAAATATATAATGATAAAGTACTGGCTATGAGTCAAATTCATGCTTCAATTAACTTTTCTTGAGTAAAAAAACAAATTAATA